ACCAGCGCCCGGCTGAACTTCATTCTTTATCTCTGTCTTTTGAGTAACTAGGATTACAGATGTGGACCACCAGCATCCAGCTTCTTTACAATAATTTTTGTAGTGACTACTGTATAAAGGCTTTTTTTCCTGCTGAAATTTTCCTTAAAATAGACTTCTAAATGGGATATCAGGGACTCATGCCTGTAATCCTAGCTACTCAGGAAGCTGAGATTTGAGCATGTGTATTTCCTATGTAATGTCCAATAATTATATATATGTAAACACACACACACTCTTGGAAAGTAATAGAAATGGGAGCCAGGTGCTGGTGGCTCATGCCTGTAATCCCACCTACTCAGGAGGCTGAGATCTGAGGATCGAGGTTCAAAGCCAGCCTGGGCAGGAAAGTCCATGAGATTCTTATCTCCAATTAACCCCCAGAAAACCAGAAGTAGCACTGTGGCTTAAGTGGTAGAGCGCTTGCTTTGAGCTGAAGAGCCGAGGGATAGCGCCCAGGCCCAGAGATCAAGCCCCATGACTAACAACAAGAAAAAGTAATAGAAATGAATTAATTATAAAAACTTCATATAAGCTGGACACCAGTGTCTCACACCTATAATCCTTAGCTACTCAGGAGGCAGAAATCTGACGATCGTGGTTCAGAGCCCATCCTGGCAGGAAAGTTTGTGAGACTCTTATCTCCAATTAATCACAAAAAGATGGAAGCAGTGCTGTGGCTCAAGTGGTAGAGCACTAGCCTTGAGCCCCAGGCCCAGGGTTCAAGGCTCAGGTCTGGCCAAAAAGAAAAAAAAATAGTAAGTTTGATAACAGGCTTTGAGTCAGTTGAATATTGCTGTACAACCTAAAGAATTAACCTCTCAGAACCTTTATTATTTCCCCCTCCAAAGTTATAAGATTATATACAAGTATGACCTAGCACTGTACTACCACATAATCATGTTTCTCTCCAAAGAATATCACGCGAGTTCATAGTGCCAGCATCCAGTATATAGCAATCTATTTGTGTTTCCCCGACCTTTGAATTAATCACTCATGAAATGTCTTGCTAGTGATGCAAGTGATGGCTGATTGGCTTGACTTGGCACCTGTCTCATGTGTAGGCCAGGACACAATACTCCGGGGTTTCACTTCCTTCTGTATGCAGTGACTTGTTTGACTTTGTTGCTTAAGTACCTTTCAGGAGATGTGTTAGTTATGTTCCCTTCTCTATTGGTTGCCCTTTCTGTCTGGCTTTATTGCTTATTCCCTGTAAAAAAATTAAACATTTCCCATTTTACAACCAGTTGTTTCCTCTCTTGAGTTCTATTGCTTCCAAATTGTGCCTGGTTTCCTTCCTTGCATTTCCAGTGCTCATTGTGTGCTTTCAAGTTCTTTTTGTGAAGGTCATTTCCAATAATTCTGTCCTTAGCAGCGTGTGTGTGTGTGTGTGTGTGTGTGTGTGTGTGTGTGTGTGTGTGTGTGTGTGTTTGAAAGATTTCGGTTTATAGCCTTCTTCCTTATACAGATGTGGCTCTTAAATGCTAATAGGAAATAAGTTATTCAGAAAACACCTGAAAAAAAAAAGTTGTGTGGATACATGGTGTCATATTTTCCCCAAAACAGAATTACTTTAACTTCTACTTACTCTCCTGAGTAAGTGTAAGCAATCTCTTGAGCCAAGATACTATCTTTTTTTAAAAATTTTATTTATTCATTTTTATTGTGAAAATACTGTACAGAGGGGTTACAATTACATGGGCAAGATAATGAGTACATTTCTTATCAAGCATTGCAGCCTCCTCCTT